TCCAGTGCGTTTCCTGCAATATGAGGATGTCGCAGTGATGAGAGGCTTCAGCTGCTAGCCATGTTTTGAGTTCGCCCCATTGCTGTTGGCCTAGGTGGCCCGCGTTCCACGAAAGAACTCGAATGGATCTTTCCAACCTTCCTGCCCTGCGGGAGGCTGTGCCATATGCAGGGGAGTCAGCAGTCTGTGACTGAAGCTCTCTTCGAGTGGGTGGGGGGCGCACCCCCAGACGATCAACCAGGGTAGGTGTCAGAACCTGCCCTCGGTATGGTACGGGCCCGTCACTACGGACTGTCCTTCTACATGCTGTCTTGAACGAATTCTTACGAAGAGATGCAAAGTTTTGTGAGTGCACTGGCAATTGCGCCATCCGCTACTTTCGTCAAGAGACAGAAGCCTAATGACTCCCTCCACCGCGCGGAGGTGGAAACCCTACCGCCTACCCAGTGTTGCAATGTTTTAAACAGAGTCTGGGCCCAGGAATTGGGACCTGGCGGCTCAAAGCAGCTCCTGTGAGAAAAGGGAGAGGACCATGGCGTAGAAGGAGGCACAAACCTTTACTGTTCAGAAAAGAGCCCGGTTGGGACCTCTAGCACAGCAGTTGCGCCCCAAGCCTGTTCGAAACCTCTCATTCAGCGCGGCCGCTTGAGCACTTGTGGCGGCTACAACTACTACTACTACTACTACTACTACTGCTACTACTACTGCTACTGCTACTACTACTACTACTACTACTACTACTACTACTACTACTACTACTACTACTACTATTTTCAATTGAACGCTGTGCCACCGGGCTCAGCACATTGCGGGCGATTGCCGCGGTGCACGCACTTGGTGTGAAACTGACTCGATTGACCCATATGCTCGAAGAGGCGAGCACCAGCTCCCTTGATGTCGTGCTACCTACCACTACTGCTACTGCTGCTACTACTACAACTACTGCTACTACTACTTGCGTGGGGATTTGATCTTGATGATGTTCCTTGTCGCTCACCCCACCGAGCTATGTTGGGTAATGATGTGGTTGCCCTCTACAGACTCGATCACTTTCTCTCTCTCCCACGTGTCAGCTTCACTCCCTGTGCAGGCAGATCCAGAGCTCGCTTGTTTTGCACCTTCGCGGCCAGCGATGGATCGTCGTTTTATTAAACGGATGAGGGGATTTCATACATACATAATAAATACATACATATATAAATCACCACAGACATACATGCACATACACATGCGGCTTCGCGCGAAGCGAAGCGCATGCAGGCTGCTGGCGTGGCTTCGCACGTGCTTTGCGCGGCTCGCGCCGGCTTCGCGCAGCTTCACGAGAGCTGCTTTGCGTGAGTTGGCGCATGCTTCGCGCGCGCATCTGGGTATGTTTCGAACGGCTTCGCGCACCAGACGCCGGCTTTGCGCACCTGCGTGCGCGCACCTTCGCGCGCGGCTTCGCACGGCTTCACGCAGCTTCGCGCGCGGGCTGCTTCGCGTGGCTTCGTGCGTGCACCTGCGCGCACTCTGCGTGCGCACACCTGCGCGCGCGGCTTCGCGCGGGCTGCTTCGCGTAGCTTCGCGCGTGCCCCTGCGCGCGCTCGGTTTCGCGGGCTTTAGGCGGCTTCGCGCGCTTCGCGTGGCTTCGCGCGGCTTCGCGCAGGCTGCTTCGCGAGGCTTCGTGCGTGTGCGCGCGCCCGGCTTCGTGCCGCTTCGCGCGGCTTCGCGCGCTTCGCGCGGCTTCGCGCGTGCTTCGCGCGCCCGCACTTCGCGCGCGCTTCGCGCGGCTTCGCGCGCTTCGCGCGCCTCGCGCCGGCTCCCCGCGGCTTCGCGCGCCCGCTTCGCGTGGCTTCGCGCGTGCTTCGCGCGCCCGCGCTTGGCGCGCGCTTCGCGCGGCTTCGCGCGCCTCGCGCCGGCTTCGCGCGCCCGCGCTTCGCGCGCGCGGGCTAGTCCCGTCCCCAGGGCGGATCATTCTGTGTGCCCGACAAGGAGGCCATCTGGGCTGGCCAGCAGACCGGCGATGTGGCGACAAAAGGCTTCTCCCATAAGAGCGGCCAGGGTGTGAAACTCACTCGGAACCAGAGAGTTACTGATGCGCCAGTCACTGCAGAAAGCATCCTGCGGTTTGGCCCGCTCTGCCAACAAGCGGAGGTCTAGGACACGCTTGCGAAAAATCACATACTGCGCCGGGGTCATATCCGGGGTGGACGGAAAGCGCGGTGCCTGCGCCGCAGTCCCCACAGCCTGTAGGAAGGTAAGCACCAAATGTACTTCGGCCGCAAAGTGACATCGTGGCTGCGGCGCCGGCTGAGTGTGAGGTCGGACAGGCATGCCAAGGGCAAGTGGCACCCGTGCCACGGGCATTTTCAAAACCTGTAAGAAGACGTCAAGCGCTCCTCCCACCTTCACACAGGAAATGCTGCGCAGGGGAAATTCCCACTGGTGAACCCCTCCGGCAAGGGGCTCGGCTCCCAAGAAGGCAGGCCAGTGACTAACAAGCAAGTGGGCAGCTGTGGGGTTGAGGCGATTGTGGCGTCTCTGTGCCTTTCGCTTTGCAGGCGTGTTCCCTTTGACCCGCTGGGGGACCACTGAGTCAACAAAGACAGCAAGAAGTTGTGCGTGGCGAAAGTCCAGTTGAAGCAGCTCTGACGGGGGGCGATTGCCGCTTTGGCGATGGGAGAACCAGCCAGTGTTCGGCTCTGCCGACGGCTCATTGGGGCAAGATAAGCCAAGCACGTATGTGCCAAAGCTGAGACACACGCAGACTGACGCGGAGGGGCGCCATGAAAGTCCGCGTTGTGTCCTGGTGCGACATCCGCCTGTGCTCCTGCCCATTGTCCTCCAGTGCGGCTCCTTGGCTGTACACATGAAAGTGCAAAAAGTCCGCGACACGTTCAAGGGACAGCTCCCCCAGGGCACGCTGGACTGGAGCAGGCAGCGGGAGGCTGACAGGCTGGCCACCGTCGTAGCACCGGAGGCGCACCTCCTGGATAATCCAGTCCCGAATCGCTCCCGTGCACTGTGTCAAGGTGCTAGCATGTAGCCGAGCGGAGGTCGCTCACTAAATGTGGGGGAGGGCAATGAGGGCACCGAGTTCCTGCAACACGGATGTCGTGACGCGGCGTGGGTAAAGAGCGGCCATGACCTGCCCAACGGCACCGTCCACAAGTCCTCTGCTGCGGTAAAAGTGAAGAGAGTGGAAGGCCCACTCGAGTTCTTCTTCCAGGCTGCGCATGGGCAGATAGGCTCGCGCGGCGGTGACATCCACTTGTGGCGGCAACCTCGGCTCAGACCGCAGAAGCAAGTGCGCATAACTATGGCACTGGGTGCCAAACAGTTCATCAGGCACATTATACAGCCAATGCATGCCCCCCTCACGCACGCATGGGGCAGAGCAAATGGTCGCCCGCACCGCATCAGACGGCTGCCAGGGACACAGAAAATCCTCGTGTACATGTACAATGCGTAACCGGCATGGAAGCTGCAGCAAAGCGCCGAAGACCCAATCTGGCATACCAACGGCGCCAAGCTCAATCCTGGCGAGCGGTGGGGCGTCCTTCCCTCCTGACTCAACCGGGGCGCTGCTCGGAGTTGAGCCAAGAAAGGAGCGGGGGCCCCATAGTTTATGAAGGAGGACACCAACGAGAGCCGCCGTGTAGCTACCCGCCGAGAAGCCGCGAACAACCGGGCACGCCGGAGGAACACTCACAAATGCAATACAGAGGGCGGCCAGGCAAGCCGAGTGCGGCTCCTGCAAGTGGGAGCTGCGCCACGCCCGTTGAAGCTGAGCGGCAATGGAGGCAGCCTCCGGGCCGGAAGTAGCGTACCTGACACCAAGCATAGCATGGGCCAGCAGGATGACAGGCCGTGGAGAAAGTAATTTTTTCGAACGCGGAAGGCTGTCGTCTACAAGCCCATCAGCACCGACCTATCCTAATTCAGTTACTGGTGGCTTAAATTATACACGGCCCTTGGGAGGTTTATGTACTACTTTCGCCCAGAATTGACGGTCCTGGCAGCGTGGCTGCACCTTGCGATAAAGGGACGTATTGTCCATCCGTACTAGTCCGGAGGAGCTGTGTGCTGCAGCAATGCTATTAGGGTTGGGTAACTGATAGAAGCTGTGTATTTGCTCATGGGAGGGGGCAGCGTCCGAGAGTAAATGATCAATACGTTCCGCAGCCTGCGTCATGCAGGATTCGGCCCAATGTGTGCGAGGCCGGCCCGATCTATTAGGAGCCCTGATGTGTCTATACGCATGCGAAGTCATGTAGGTACACTGACTTTCTAGGGACTCAGGATGCCTATGTATGTGTCCAAATAACCGCAGTCTTTGTTGCGAGTATAGCTGGGAGGGAGTAATGACCTTACGGGATCTATAGGAAAGAGACGCAAGGTACTGGTTAGAGCATTGGGAGTCAGAAGGGTCAAGAACCCTATGATAAAATGAGGATTTGATTTTAAAAATACGCCGCAATGTTTTGTAGTGTATGGAATCAAGCTTTCGAAGCTGTGGTGACGTGAGTAGAACACTATCCATAGCGTAAGTGAGAATAGAGAGAACAATGCTCCTATATACCGTGAGTTTCCAACTCGGCGGGAGACCGGTATGGGTAAGCAACGGCCTGAGCAGCTTCGAAGCTGCGACCGCCTGAGAGATCCTATAAGAGGTATTCTTACGGTTACTGTTAGCTGGGTCTAGATAAACCCCGAGATATTTGATCTCTTCCGAGAGAGGGACCGGAGTAAGAGGGGCGTGGATGCCGCCACAATATTTACATTGGCAAACTGTTTTCACCTTCTTGTTTTGAGGTTTGAGCCGAACGCTAAACCTTCTAAAATCGTTCCTTCAAAAGTGGACGAATATATGCCCGTCAGAGTCATATATAAAAGAGAATATAAATTCAATCATTCAGGCACTCGGACGAAGACTCTTTTCCCGGATGGTGGTGGATGTCCCCTCGTCGGAGGGAAGGCAGGCACACCTGGTGTGCGAAGCCTCGCCCCCTCTCCCTGAGTCACCAGGGCGTGCCTTCGCGCTTCCTCTTCGGGACACGAGGCTGAAAACTGCTTGCAGACTGCAGCGCCTTGCGAGACGCATCGAAGTCAGACTTCGACAACCACAACTGATTCAAGAGCTCAAGCGGTAGCTCACTGAAACTGACATCCAAGCGGTGTTCGGAACTGAAAGAGCTGAAATCCTGATTCGTCAGAGCATCTGCCAACTTGTTTTCGTCGCGAGGTTTCCAAGTCAAGCTGAGCCTCAAACAAGCTTTCCTTAAGAGGTGTGAGAGCTGCATGTTGATGAGCATGAGTGGCCACTTAGTCGTGGACTGCTTTCTAAGAAGCTTCTCGTTGCTCTGATTGTCTGTGGCCCCGGCAATGGCAACTGGGAGTCGCCTCCGTGAACTGTTCTCTTTAAGGTGTCCGAAGATCCACAAAGCGGCCAACGTAGCTAACAGCTCGGCTGAAGCTGACGCCCATTGTGATTTTCCCCCTTCGTCGAAAAGGTACGGGGCATCCGCAGGCTTAACCACTATAGAGAACCAAGGCGCAACCGAAAGGTCCTGGCTAGAGTCCCAACCACCTAAGACGACATAACCATCATCGCATTTAGCGTCCGTGTGAAAGAGATGCCCTGTCTCTTCCCGTTGTCGACCCGGTGCGACCTTGAAGTTGATGTCTTTAAACGTTGCCTCCAAGTATAGCAAAGTCAAGATGACAGTGTCCGGCATTTTTGCAACATGGCTCTTCGAAGCTGCAGCTGACCAAGCATACAAGGGGGCCAAGTGTGGTTTGATCCAGTACACGACCCTGGACACGAAACCAAGTCTCCCAAGAAACTCCGCAAACTTCCTAACTGAGACGACGAAGCGCGCCTTCCGTGCCTCATCGACCCAGTTACACACCCAAGCGCCTCGGGCTTCGCTGAGGCCCACAAGCCTGGCACCGTAGTCAAGCTCGTAGCCGATGAAGGCGACCAGTGTCTTTCCCTTGAACTTATGGTAAGCGAAAGGCACCCCTATCATTTCTTGAAGGATTAACCAAACCAAGAAATTGATGTACATCCGCTTCCCATAAAACGTGGGATGCACGTCGTCCACATAAGCGAAGTGGTAAAAGGCGTGCTGCAGTAGGCATCGGGTGACCACTCTGCCTATGATCCCGTACAACCTGCTCCACCAAAAGGAGGCTGGGCTAAGCCCGAACGTTCCTACTTTATTGATCCAAATCGTGTCGGACCCTTGCTCTGCCCTGCATGACATCAAGGCCCAATCGCTCTTCCGATGCAAGACCAACCTATGCGCAGCACTCACGTCCGCGGTTGCGGCCAAGGGAATCTCCTGCATAGCACCTGATTGCCGAACTGAAAATGACATCTCTGCCGGCCCTGGAACTGCTAGCTGATTCACCAAGCGTATCTGATTGTTGACATTGACGCCGTGTGTACCATCATGTACTGGCCGCACACTGCCATCTGGTTTGAGGATGGCTCCCATGGAAGCCACGCGGATCATGTCCTCGCTGTACTCCTCGCGCAGCGCTCCGAGCGTGGTCGGCTTCATCCGCCCAAGTTTTTCCTCTGCACGAAACTTTTCGAGGAGCTCAGCGGAGCTCAACTCGGCACTCTTATAATTTTCCCGATCAAATTCCAACTCAGATTCATCAAGTTTCCGCCAATGACATTTCTTCTCATACACCTGCGGCAAATGCGGTATGTCACAATTGAGTCCTAGGGGTACCCCGGTACAGAAACAATCGACTCCCTCTGTTAAAATCTGCCAGTCTGGGTCCTCAAGCCTTTCAGCCGAAAGCGACAAGGCCCTGAGCAAGAAGGGCTGCGCATCTGGGATCTCGAGCACATCGGGATTGTTCTCTGCACCAAGTAACCCTGCCCACTGCTTACGCAGGGTTTCCAACTTCTCCCCGGCGAATGGAGATGAATCGACCTTACCTGAAAGTAGGCTCAAGCAGAAGCGACGGGGATCAGGAACATGCTCAGAAATGAAGTTCGTAAGCATCCGGTACATGGATTGTGCATGTGCAGTAGCCGCTGTGCCCAGGCGATGCCCCCGGTCCATCGGCCTCCAACGCGCCGGGGAACACAACCCAAACCCGTCTGTCATGTCAGCCTCTTGTCCTTCCCACTCAACACGAATGGGGTTTCCGCGGATCCCACATGCCTCTGGTCTGAATGGCACTGGTGGGGCTGTGTCTTCAGTGCTTAAGCCCTCGGTAGTACCCAGAACCTCTGAAGTCTCACCATTTGATGCATCCAAGTCAAGTGGTAACTTAAACCCCAGGGTCTTAAGGTGGGCGAGGTCGGCAGCCTCGACATTGCCAAGCTTATCGGTCATGTATGCAACCATCACCACCCGACGGCCCTTCCACGATCGCGTAGCATGGTATGATCGCCATGCATCGAAGCTTACAGGACCCTTGCAAACCTCCAAGTGAACGCCAGGTCTCTGCCCTTCTGGTGTTGTCTCCCATACATCGCCTCCTTGCTGTTCCAACCAGATTTGGCCATCTTCAAAATCCGACAACGGCACCACCATGTTCGGATAGTGCGCATTCCGGGCATCACGATGGACACCCGTCCTGACATCATCGAAGATCGCAATAGCGGATGCTTGAAAGCCCGGTGCAACCTGCTGCAAGTACCTTGTCAGAACCTGTGTAGACTTCGGTAGCACAGTGGAATGATGCCTCAAACCGACTAAACCACCCTTGCAATATGCACCCGTTGTGAAAGCACTGCCCGGTGTAGCTGACGTCGACTCCCTAGTCGGCTCCTCGCGGGGAAGCAGGTCAAATAGCTCTAACACACGGCAACGTTCTAGCAGCCCTGGCGCTGCCAGGAGCTTCGATGCTGCACTCTCGGGATCGGCCCAGGACTTCAAAGGATGCGCGGAGGAACTACAACCTGAAAGGGAAGGAGGAACCGCCGAGGCCCTAGGGGAACCACAACCTGAATGGGAAGGAGGAGCAGCCGTGGCACTGCAACCTGAAGGTAAAGAACCTGAAACGCCGGGCAAGGGTAGAACCTTCGGGCGTGCACCTAACCCTTCGGGGGCCTTAACTACCTTATCAGGAATCCTTCGACTTAGAGGATTTGCACTCCCCATCTGCTTGCAGCGAGAAGTCGATGGCTGCCACCATAAATTGACACAGCTGAAGGGGCCATCCGCGGGCCCGCGGCAAGTTCCACTTTTGCGCAGCCGGCAATTTGCCGGTGCTAGGTGCATGACCCCCATGGGGGCACGACGCGGGCAGCGGCCCAACGTAGCGCTGATCAGCATCCAAGACCGGCAGTCCAGTGAAAGGCCGCGGCGAGTGACGAAAGAAGGGCAGATTGCTCAAGTAACGTGTTGGTTTTGCCATGTCCGCCCCGAACTCACACAAGTAATGCACAAATGTCGTGGCAGCAAAACGCGGTATGCAGTCAAGTAATTCAGGCCAAGCCCAAATGGAGCTCGGCACGAGGCCGTCAGCAGTGCGGCCCAAGTGTTCCGGCGCCTCCCACATAAAGAAATTGCCAGCCTCGGCCGCGAAAACTGTTGCTTTCAAACACTGGTCGACAAAATGATTGGCAGAAGTCACCTTCTGCATAGACGAATCCTTAAGCCATGGAAAACCTCTGGGCCACTTATCACTGCGGAGTGGAGTGGGCCCAGGTTGCTTATGCCTCGCCCGACTAAAAGTATCATAGGGTGGCGAAATCAAGATCACGGTTCTCGGTTGTTTCACAAGCTCAAACAACTGATCCCAAGCGTCACCACAAAACAGGTTGTTTGCATCAAACCCAAAAGCAATGAATTCTGGCTGCGACAAGCTGTTGCTGAGATGCGGTTTCCAATCAAAGCGCTCAGCAGGATCTGCAATGACATGTACCACCCTTGACGCCACAGGTTGGCCTGACGGCAACGACGGCAGCTTATGCTCCTGCGCCCCCTGCTGAGCGCAACTCTGTCACTTACCTGCTGTCGCAACTTCGTGCTGCGAAGCTGGGTGCTCGCCGAAACACCCTGCAACACGACACGCATGCACACGTGCACACTTCGGATCGGTACAGCCTTGGTGGTTGTATGCATAACACAGCTGACGACCATCAGGAGTCGCTGACACAAGCGCAAGCTGTTTCCCATTTGCCAAGACAACCTGGCCCTTGCCTTTCTTGCCTTTGCCTTTCCCTGTTCCACGTCCGTTCTGATGGGGCGCGGGCGGCAGCGGAATCTCTTGCCCTTGATTCTTATCCTTTCCTTTGCTATTGCCCTTCCGAAACTTGTTCGGTGTACCAGCTGTGTGCAAGGCCAGCGGCGTTGTAAAGTAAGCCTCTTTCAAAGATGGGTCCTCACGCACTGCTCGAAGTTCCCTCCAGGATCATTTTGAAAGCTTCAACCCTCAACTTATATTCATAACTCAAGACAATGTTCCAGGGTGGCCGGTTGAACTGTGTCTCCAGCCCAGAAGCAGTGGGCAACTTCAAATTGCCAACACGATCTCCCAAGATGTATTCAACAAACCTAGTGAAATCTTCAAGCTGAAGCCCTTGCAACCAAGCCTTTGCCTTGAACCGTGCACTCATGCAGAGCCACGCATGTGCTTCCACCTTCATCAAACGTCGGTAGCCCTCTGAGTGATGCGGCATTTCCAACTTCTGCATTGTCTTCGTTACACGGACATGCCCGGTGGGATCAATGCTAGTCTGGAGGCTCTCCACCTGCGAATCCTTCTTTGAAGAGATGCGATCAAGCGAACTCGCGAGAGGCTCATTGCTCTCGCACTCTTCGGCCTTGGTTGCCAAGTACTCTGCACTTGGCGTCTCGCTTTCATTCATCTTTCCGTATGCATCTGTCACCGCTTTCAACATAGCTTGGCGTTCCTGCACTTGCAAGATCCTCTTATGGCCTAACACTTTCGCCTCAGCACGTAGCTCGATTTCTTTACTCGCATACTCCTTGGCAAGTTCCCATGCAGCTACTATAGCAGCCACCTCAACACGGCCCGCCGGCGTATCAGGATTAATCCCGAAATCACGAGCAGCTGTCCTAGCACCTTCGCGATTATCTGCGATCGCCTGGAATCGCCTACGACTCTGATGGAGCCGCGCCACCTGATATTGCGTGGCCAGTGACGCACTGGCTTCCTGTAGCACATACTGCAAGTCGGAATCCATCTTTGCCACTTCGGCTCTCTGATCTGCCTCACTGGGCAACGCCATGCTATCTGAAACAGCACTGTGCTGTGCGACTGAAACCGCACTCTCAGCGGTGGCCCATGGCAACTGAAAATCACGTGGCTCCTAATGCAGAATGTGAAGAACTGCAAGCACTCAAAGCTTTCACTAAAATTCATGTAACACTCACCGTCAAGAACATGCCGACGCTCCCGCGATGCATCCTCAGCCAAACTTCCTCATGCAAGCACCTACCCACGCAGCACAGTACAGTGAATCAGCCAAGTACATGTCGCACTTCAAACACAGCACAAGTCTATCGCAACAAACGATTTGTCACCAAGCAACAATCGTAAAGCTCACCCCTCAACGCTGCTCGAGTCACTTGTGGACCCACTCTCGCTACTTGTGTCCTGATCGTCTTCGGCACCTTGATCTTCCTTCATGCGATGCTTGCAATCACGACAAATACGGTCAATCTGCTCCAATGCGACGCGCTCGACAAACTCGACCCTATTGCAATGATGTGGCTTAACATGGCACGGTCCATTCAAGTGTAGCCTGCGATGGCCCGTCTTACGACTGATGCTAATAAAGTATTTCGTGGCACTGCCGTCAACGGTCATTGCTTCGGCAGCCTCCTCCTCTTCACTGGCATCTGCATCATCCTGTTCAATGGCAGGCCACTTGTTGCCCAAGCAGCGTACACCTTCCACAGTCCTAAGAATGTCATGCCGCCGCCTTGCCAATGCACCTGAACCTCCACGCTCGTCTACAAATGCCTTTAGCTCTTCGAGGGCCTCACTCTCTTGATACTCGCCACCCTGGCCGGTGACAATTGCTTTGCAGACTCCGATCTGTATGCGATGAACGACTTCCCGGGCAGTGCGCGTGTAGTCGGCTGAACCCGAACCACCGATCATCCAACGACCCAAGAAATCCCTCTGATCTTTAGACCAACCCAACACTGCAGCGGCCGAAGTAAGCCAGTTGCGTGGGCTATGCCCAGTGAAAAAGCCTCGTGCCCCTTCCACCAAGAGGTATCTCTGCACGTTGAGGCGGTACGCACCATCCTCAAACTTCGGCGTTGCTAACCTCTTGAAAATCTCACGCACATAGCCTGCAACTACCTCGCTCTTAGCAAAGTGCTTAGTTGGCCCTTTCCAATCGTCTCTGGCAGTCATGACAAGGTAATCTCTCGGCTGGGTATACTTCTTCCAAAGCGCGAAGCCCTCGCCTAACCAATCAAAACCGGACAATCCCGCCTGCCTGTGTATGAAGACCGAGACTTCCTTGTTGCGCCGATCTGCGCCTGTTGTCTTTGTGCGTCCAAGCGTAGCTTTGAAGCCCTGTGCAGTAAGCCGCATGGTGGCCGGCAGCATCCCCTGCAAGTCGTCCATTCTCATGGAACCATACACAGCTAGCAGCGCCACGAATGCCATTGCCCGTGCATACTCTGGCTCATCCTCCCTCGAAATGTGCAGCTCAAGTGAAATGATCATAGCTACCGTTATCATTGGTGCTTGCTGTACTGGCGCTTGCGCACCCACCAAATCTGCAGTCAGCGACTTCAAGTGTGCCATCCAAGTCGTATCGCTCGACAGCCGCTGTGTCTCTGCGACCTTTCCCACTTGCTCCAAGACCGCCAGTGACGCCTGGAAACTGTTCAGCACCGTCTTGCCACACTCGCTTTGAAATCTCTCATTGCTATAGTCAATCAGCTGCCGCACGCTAGTCGGCCAATGCACTTCATGGACGCACTGCAGCCACGTTCTGAAGGGTTCCCATGCCTTTAAACGGTTTCGCAGCGTCTTGCTCCTGCGGGTTCCAAATATCCGTGGCCAAACTTCTTCAGGCCGGTCCACTCCCTCCAGCTGTAGCACTAATGGCAATTTCGCCTCTTTAAGTATCTCAGCCAATTGTAAGGCATACTTCTTCTTTGCCAGCTGCTCTTCCTTTGCGCGCTGTGTAGCGTCTGTATTCTCTCTAAGCAGGCGCCTCTTCCGCTGCAGTGCCGGCAGCAGGACAAGCGGGTTGCTCCTTGCCAGCTCATCGAATGTATCCGTCAGCTTCGGCACCACACGTTGCTGTGGTAGTACCTCCCACATGCCCTGCAATGACTCTCTTCGCTGGCGCTTGATTGCTGATTCATTCTCCTGTGCCCATGCCACAAGAACGTCTGCTCTCTGATATTTCCCATCTCTGTTGATGCCTGGCAAGAACACCTCGATTAGTTCAGCCGCCTCATCGCGACTATCGAAGGCTGCCTGCAATTGCCTGGGGTTCGTGAATGCCCCTTTAAGGAGTGCAAGCTCCTGCCCTTGCAGCTCTGGCCATGACATCTACGTCCGAAGGAGCCTTTGCCCCACACTACCAAAAACTAAAACTGAGCCTAAACATCACGAAAAGACGGATTCTCACTGAAAACTGAAAGGTGCTGAGACATACTGAGAAACTGAGGACTAATAACGAATATTTGGAAACTCAAAACTAAAATCATCTTTTTCTCGCCCGGCCGCCCAAAATTCGAAGGTTTCAACAGTTCAACTGGGCAAGCCCAGTAAAGCGGGTTTGCGCCAAGGGCGCATAGTAGATGCGGTGAGGCGAATGCAACCGTAAGTGCTCGCATTTAGCTTCACTGAGAAGGAGGCCCCGTTTGAAGCCATGGTGCTGGACTGAGTGGAGAAGGCGGTTAAGTTGTTCTGCTGAGCAAGAAAGGAGAACAGTGTCATCAGCATACTCTAAGTCCCACAGCGGTGAAGGGACATGAAATACCCCAGAGATTTCTCCAAATCTGGCTTGATAATCATTTTCAACGTCATGAAATAGATGAGTCAGAACAAAGCCAAACAAATAAGGAGACAGGGGGCATCCCTGACGTAAGCCTTTAGTCTGTGTTCGTATGCTAGACTTTTGCAAAGAGTCTCTGACAGAAAAGGTAGGGTTATCGTATAGAGCCATAACCACTTTTCGGGTATGGTCCGGGACCCCAACGTGTACCATAGCCGCATCGATAGCCGTAAAGGTAACGGAATCGAAGGCTTTGCTCCAGTCAATGAAGAGGGCATGAAATGGTGAGTTTTGCCTTTCATAGACTTCCAAGAGACGGCGAATAATATGTATAGGCTGGGTAGTGGACCGGTTTTTACGAAAGCCAAACTGCCTGTCCCTTACTCTGGAATCTAAGCCTTTTTCTAATTTCTGTTGTAGCATAGAAGCGAAAATCTTATAAGATATATTGGTAAGAGAAATGGGTCGATAATTGGAAAGGAGACGGGCGTCTTTTTGTGTATTCTTTAAAATCATAACGACTTCAGAAAAGAGCCATGAGGGGGGTACTCTAGCTTCCTGATAACATTGGTTATAATGAGAGAGAAGGTACAGTTTCAGTATGTAAGGAGCATGCTTGTAAATTTCTCCAGGAATATCGTTGGGACCGGAGGCTTTATGATTTTTGAGTCTTTTGAGTGCAGAGTCCAGGTCATGCATTGTAAAGGGGGAGTCAATCTCCGGAACAGGAGAGGGGGGGTTATGTTGGTGAATAGGGGGGTCTCCTGTCGTATGCCACACCTGTGTGGAGAGATAGTCGGCAAAGGTGGTGGTGCGCTGGGAAGAGGAGACAAGTTTTCCTTGGAGGTTATACAGGCCCGCAACGTGCGGGCGGAATTCGGATCTAATTTGGCGGGCATGGGTCCATTGTTGGATGGAGCTGCCGTAAAAGTCCTCCTGGAGATTCTGAGCAATGAAGAGTTTTTTGTCTCGGTGGGCGGATTTCTTAATAGCTGTTCTGGCCGCTTTGAGGGCGGATGTATCAGTGAATTGAGTATTTTGAAAGACCTGAATGAGATGAAGTGTATGCGGGGAGATCCAAGGCTTCTTGGCGGATAGTGGCAGGATAGGAATGAGAGTGCTGTATTCTTTGATCTTGGAGCAGAGAAAATCATCCTGCTCCATAACGGCTAAGGAGTCCCATCCTTGTCTGTTAAAGCCTATTTCAGGGGGCTGGAGAGATTTAGAAGGAGTAGTTGCGAACCTGCCAAGAGATCCAAAGGAGTGAACTCCGCGTTTAGCCAAGGTGTCGGCTAACTCATTTCCTGGTATACCTTCATGAGAAGGCACCTTCAAGAGGTGTACCCTAAAACGGCATCTGAATGCCGTGTAGTACTGCTGGGCCAGAGTGACTAGCTGGTGGTGCGTGGTCGGGACGGAGGAGCCAAGAAGGAGGGAGAGGGCGTATTGTGAATCTGTGTATATGGTAAGTTGGTCACCTAACTGAAAAGTGGAATGATATAATAAGAAGTCAAAGAGTTCAATGAGTGCCTTTAGCTCTCCTGTATTGTTGGAGCCCGGCAGCTCCGGCAGGTACTGAGTAGGAGCAGCACGAACCTTGCCCCAAGACTGGAGCCAGGTGGAGTCCACCGGGGGGTGTGCGGGCAGATCCAATCCCGATGTGAGGGCAAGACCCCAACCGGCTGGGTTATCAAAGGAGACTGTGCGGTTGTTAGGGCAGGAGCCGTCAGTATAAGCAATGATTTGCGTGGAGGATGGTTGTGGAAAGATAAAAGCATTGTCTGTTTTGTCAAGGAGGGAAAGCTCCAATTGCGTGTAAAATGAGGAGAGTTGTGTGTAATCTGGTTTTCGGAGAGATTGTTTTGGGGGAGAAGACTGGAATTGTGTTTTAAGGGAAAAAATAAGCGGGAGGTGGCGAGAGTTGACGAGTTGCTGAAAATTCGCGCCGACAAAGGTGAGAGTCTGGCGGAAGCCCTGAGGCGCAATAGCGTAATCGAGGGTCGTCCAGTCGGCGACGTCTTCGCCTTCGAGAAGGGGGTCTTTACAGGTCATTTCCTTGTAGGAGACCCGTTTCCGAAAAGGCAAATCCTGGATGTTTGGGGCAGTTCCAAGCCGTGGCTTTCAAGGAGATCGATTAAGAAGAGAGCGTTGTCTCTATCTACGTCTGGGATGGTTTGTCTGCGGCCCACCACGTGGGGTCCGACGTGGGACTGAGATATGTCGATATTGGGGTCAAGTCTGGCGTTGCAATCTCCCAGTAACAAGAGGTAGGAGGAGTTAGGGTGATTAAGAAGTATATCCTCCAACGCCTCCCAAAATTGGGATTTACGTTCTCGGTCCAATGCGGGAGTATCAACAGTACTAGGAGCATATATACTAAAGATAGTGATAGGATGCGGTAGAGTGTCGAGCGTGATTTCGCAGATACGAGAGGAGTGCGGTTTAAAATCCCTAACATGGGAGCGTAAGGAGGGAGAAACAAAAAAGCCAACCCCATGGTGCGGGTCTTTTGGGGTACCGGAGTGCAAAATTTCCCAACCTAGTTTCTGGAATGTGTGAGCTGAAGTAACCTTGGTTTCCTGAACACAAAGGAGAGATACTTGTGATTGTTTACAGAAGTTCAAAAGGAGGTCGTACTTGGCTACTTCTTTGAGACCTTCTACGTTCCATGTGCCAATTCCTATAGGGGTGCCAGTAGGAAGCGGTAGGGACAAAGCAGAGTCAGAGGATCGGGTTTGGTTATAAGAAGAAATTGTAGAGTTATGTTGAGCAAGGGATAGCCGTTTAGTTAGACGAGTTTGCGTAGTCGGCTTTAGGTGGATCGGGGGCGGACTATTGTTGCCGTGCACCTTCAGGGCAACGTCCTGGTGGTGTGTCTTCCACTGCCGGTAATCCTGGCGCCGAGCGCGACGTCGCGCTTGCCAGTGATCATATCTTCTTTCGACCGCTGTCTGCGATCTATATCCTCTATGAGATCCCCCGTGAGCTCCGCGGTGTTGGTAGCCGCTTGGCTTTAACGGCGCTCTAGATGCCGTTACTGGACCGCAAGCTGAATCATAACGTAAGTGTGGATAACGTAAGTGGTCGTCCGTCGTCTTATCCGGGCCAGAATAGGTCCCAGAAATCGAATGCTGGCAATATTGCGTTGAGCTTATCTTTTTGTTACTAGTGATAGGTCCAAGCTGATTCTTATACTGCTGCAAAAGAGGCCAGCGGCTTCCCGGCTCGCCTTTCTTGGAGGCCACCGCTCTCAGGACGTGTCCGTATAGGGTTTTGGAGTCACTGCGCGTCGTCTCTAATTCAAAATAATGCCCTCTTCTGGTGGCGTGTAGCCAGAGGGAATCTTTGCCATAAAAGGCATATCGAAAAACCGTCATGCCATTGGGCAGATAGAAAGAGTCTCTCCATAAAGAGCTGTGCGGCTTTGGCTTTGCCGCAGGATACATGATGTTACCATTAAGGGCGTGCATTACCTTACTTAAGCCACCAGCAAAACCTGAAAAACTCACTCGTGCGGTGCTGAGCGGGGCTGTCGAGGAGTGAGAAGTGGGGTGAGACGAGTGCAGAGGTCTCCTGAGCACTAAAAAACTGCAAAAAACCCTAGCTCGGAGGCGTGCACCCTGGAAAAGGTGAAACTCTAAAGCTACTTGTGAGAAAACGCGTGCTGCCCTCACAGCGTTCACTGCCTTGGTAGCCCCCTCACAGTGTCCTAAACTACCGCTTCTGCCAGCTACGGTGAAACTCGCGCCCCAATGGGCATAACGTAAGTGACTGGTAACGTAAGTTGTCGTCCGTCGTACCGTCGTCTGGTGCCGCTTTGGCACCTTGGTAACGTAAGTCTTGGTAACGTAAGTGATCGTCGTCGATGGGGTTGTTAGGTTACATCCTGGAGGGGGCTTGGAATTCAAAATAGGGTGTTGGAGAAGGCTTTGCGGCTGTCTCTGTTGAGGTACTGGTGGAGTTCTGGGAGAGATCATCGGAATGCACCTGGGCGGCAGGGATAGTCTGGGTGTGAGCCATTGGGCTTTCCAATGGTAGGGTCCCTTAATGAATTGGAGTTGCATTACCAACCACGATTGGGTAACGATGACTGCATGATCCCCGCGTGCTACCAACAAAAGAGATAATGCTTCCATACTTTTCCCTTTGTTATTCCAGCGTCTTTCTAACAAGTGAGATTTGTTTGAACCTATGTCTGACTTATCTGGAGCCCTTATGACTATGAGGTCGTAGAACGTGCCTAGAGGATGATTGGGTGCAGGTAAGTCGCGCTTCTTTGTGGTCTGTAATTTGTAGAGTGCTGCGACTTGAGAGTACAAGGCAAAGGCTTCTTGGACGCTATCCTTGGTACTTTCTGGGGCCTGTGTAGAGCTGGAGGCTGCTGGGGGGAGAGGAACGTCGTAGAATTGGCCTAAGTTGGGGTCTAAGCGGGCTTCTTTCCTAGGGCGTCTAGCTGTCATAAAGACTCGAAGTTTTTCTGGATTGTCCCTAAGTTCTCTCACTAACTCTAGGTCCATATCTGGGGAGGCTTGAACTACTTCTGTTGCCGCCG